TTCCTCCCTCCCTTCCTCTCTCTCTCTCACTATCAACATGACATTGGATCAAAACTGAAGCAAAAGAAAAACAAAACCCAATAAATATAGATAGTCCTAGACTTAGTCATTTGTTTAGTAACCGAAGTTACAACAGCACTGGAAAAACCCTGACTTATGGCTGTTTTTCACATTTACAACCATTGCAGCATTCCCGCGATCACATTATCAAAATTTAGACACTAGGCAACTGCCGTGTATTTGTGACGGTTGCTGTGTCCTTGGGCCACATGATCCCCTTTTGTGATCTTCTGGCAAGCAAAGTCAATGGGGAAGCCAGATTCACTTAACAACTGTGTTACTAAATTAACAACAGCAGTGATTCACTTAACAACTGTGGCAAGAAAGGTTGTAAAATGGGGCTCAATTGTGATCGTAAGTCAAGGACTACCTGTAAACTAAATTAAGGTGGTGGAGGTTGCCTTCGAGGCAAGCGACCAGATACTTACCTCCAGTCACTACCCCTCGAGCGGAAGTACTATTCCAGTGCTGGATCCAATCGTCTCTTGCAGTAATTTCTTCCTCTGTGTGGCTCATTCTCCATCAGACTCCAGAGACAGAGCCGCAATAGCTCCCTTCTAAATGCCTTGCCCCAGAATTCAACTCAGATCAGCCCCCCAAACCAACCTATGTGAATAGTAGGAGGAACATGAATGCTGTCTTTATTATGGCTTTACGATACCTTTTACTAGACAAGAGAAGAAGCAAGGCTACTTCCAATCACAACAACTAAAACAAAAGACGTGAACTTTTCCCAACCAGAACTGCATTTTGATCCCTGTCTGGAGCAAAACATCGAAACTCACATGTTTTGGAACTCAAACTATTTGCTGCAGGTGTCAAAAGATTCATACATGAATGCTTTGCATAACCCACACTGCTATCATCCATATGGTCACTCCATTGTTCTCTATGGTATATGGTATCTCTATGGTATATTAAAACTCAGGGATTATGTGATCCTTATGTGATTTTTCAAAGGCACAAGATTTATCCCACCTTCTGCAACTGGATGGACTTTTTACCTATGGCTCAAATAAGCATTTGCGCAAGCTACCACAGGAGGCAGTACACAACTCTTCCCATTTCATACTATTCACTTTTCAGCACAAACCTAAGAAAATGTTAAATGCATCCACAAAAATATAAAGAATTAATGTAATAAATACAAATGTACGCATATCAAAGATCTTAAACTGACTGCTAAGGCATGCCAGGGCCCTAAGGAAAATGTGACATAGCAGAACATTAGAAGGGAATAAGAAAAACGTATTTCAAAGTGTCAAGTGGTACATTGAAGGCCACATTGATCTGCCTTATCTTACAAAATATCCACAACTCAGGACTGATCAAAGAATGCCAGGATGACTACAAGTATAAACCTCTTACTAATTATAACAACCAAGAGCTAAGATGTGAAAAGCTGTATGAATCAGACCACAGGTCTAGCTTATCCACAATTCTGTTCTACCTGTTGAACAGCCTATAACGAGCAGGATAAGAGAACAACACCACTACTGATCAGGCATCTCACACACTGCAAGTGGTACACAAAATATACTGTCCCACAAAGGGAGGGAGGAAGATCAGTGACTGACAGCCTTATTCTCTTTCAGTATGTCTACTTCCAGTTAAGTCCATACATTGTTTTGGCTGTCACTAAATTTTTAAGTTCCACAAACTATGCTATATCAAAAAGCACTGAATCTGTCCTGAATCTCAAAACACTTAACTTTGAAATTAGCCAAGAGAATATAGCTTTTTTCCTATCAGTAAAATTTTCCTGAGCATCTATCATATTATCAATTGTCGATGTTAAGAGTGCAGCAATAATACTTAATCAGTTGTAGGTGAAGTGTATATCTGAAGGCATTTATGATGTCGAAACAGTAAATACGACATACCTTTTTTCCTTGATCTACTGAAAAAGAATCCAAATATTCTATTGAAAGCCCATTTTTTCTCCTGTAACAGAAATCAGTCATTAGAGATCATGAAAGTCCTGTTGAATAGCAATATTTTTTATGGATAGTATATATTATATGTATGGTATTCAGCT